TCGAATTAATGTCTTAGTGGACACAAACAAAAAAAAAACATTTTCTACTCAAACACCCAATGGTAAAAGCTACCATAGTCGCAGAATGTGTAAATGTGGATTCGATTTACAACTTTGGTCTACCGTTTTCATTCAGTCCAAATGTTTTAATGTATGTGCACTGACGGGCAGAGTCATGTCTATTTCATACTATTACGCAGTGTTAGCATATCAAACAATTTCATATACGTCAATTTCTAGCCTTAGATTATCACAGTCACTGAATAATCTAAACCACACTTCTGTAATAAGCCACTAGAACTGAACATATTGGCCTAATTGAAACGTGAATTGAAATCTAAATCCTATGGTGTGGTTCGTACAAAGCGATCAATAGACGAATTTCAGATAACACAAGCCAGCATGACTACACGGCAAAGCAATATCAAAATGAAGTGGGCATGCAAGGAAATATAAATGGTATAGTGAAGGTTGGCATTTATAAAAATATTTTAAATTATAGTTAATTTAAGACAAATTACAAGGAGCGGTCCATAAGGAATATTAATGTGTAAATATATAGAATCACATATTAACTTAAAATATCCTCATAGTAAAAAAGCAACATGAATTGAAGACAATAATTCAAAAAATGATGAATTCTAAAAGTCAGAATAATTTTATGGAATGAGTAGTGTGTATAATTAAAATGTCTGAATGTTTTTTTAAAGAAAGATGCGTGTATACATTATAAATTAATAACTCCGTAGAGCCAAGTACTTCTTAGGAAGCCGAATGTTCATTACCGAGTTCACAACAGCCCTGCCACATGAAAATCCTGCAAACTTTCCGGAAGTTTACAGATTTGTCATGTTACAATTATTCGCTTCGAAACTCGGCAGAGTTAACCGACTATAATCGTGCTGACTAAAGTTCTTCATGTTCGTTACGAATTCTGGGATAATGCGTTTGAAATGGGGAACGATAAATTCTTTCTTGATTTTATACCCATTCATAATTATTTTTTCTACCTTACCCGACGCTAAGCCTTGAACCTGCGCAGTTAATGCAGCATCTTTAAACACAGTAAGAATCTATCACTGTCTCTAGCTTGATTTCGGTTTTTTGGTTCAACACAAGTTAATGTGTACGTCTTGATTCTAAGCTTTTTGAACTACACTTTTATTAGGGAGCTTACAAAATATTAGTTATGGACTGGGTAAGACAAGGAACTGCTTTAATTTATATTATATTGACTTTGACTTGGGAAGTCTAACAAGACCTCAAAACGTCAATGCCGTAGTGAAAATTTGGATGTGATGCAGAAAAGTTTCGATAAAAATGGTCGTGGTTATATACATCCCGGATAAGAATGTAGAACTTCGTTTAAAAAGTAAGGTTTGCATTAATAATTAATGATTTTCTGGATGGACTTTGAAATCTGCTTATTTCAGTTATCATTACTCTCTGCAGCAAGAATTTGAAATTACATTATTTAGTACCAGATGTAGTTTAATATTTGAAATTTTCAGGAAAATATTTCCTCATTTTTATTCGGACAAGAACCCTTAGCATGCAGGTCATAATCAACAATTCGCAAATTAATAAATTTCTTATAAGCTTAAGGTATTAATTAAAATCAAAACATTCTAAATAATATCCAAGCATGTAGTCTACAAACAGATTATAGACACTGTCCAAATGCCAATACGTTTCAATGAATTTCTTAAGGAAATAACTGAAAACAAAATTCCAAAATCCAGTAACGGTAGAGACAAGACAGAAGTTAAATTTGCTTCCAAAATTTTTTTAAAAGTTTACATCTGAAAGAAGTAATTTTCATGAGACATCCGGTTTAATCAAAGTACGTAGAAAGACAAGCGAGCAGCGAGTTTGTTATTACTAACATCGAGGATATTTTGAAACAAGATTTTCTAGCCGAGACGTATTAGAAATGTCTCTATAGCACATTGTATCTAATTACCTGAAGTACATTTAAATGTAGCATGAAGAACATAGTCTTTCAAGTTACCTACTTGCAATTTCCCTCGGCCTCTTCGTAGTCTCTGCCGAGAGTTGTGCACTTAAGCACAAGCCAAACTACAGAGGACGGAAGTTATGGATGACGGAGCTGTCGAGCGTTAACAGAGTTGCGTCTATCACTCAGCGGGTGAAGACGGGTGTACCTTATGCAAGAGGGGCTGTTTCTGCAGGACAATTCAGCTCGTGCATTAATAGAAATGAAAAGCTAAAGCCCTCAGTTTTCATAAAGAGGAGACGGACGAACTAAACAGGATTTGCCTATTGTTAAGATTCCAAGTCCACCCTAGATTAGACATCTGCCTCCCTCAGCATCAACCCCTCCCCTCTGTTTCGCCATCAAAGTCAAGCAGTCTGCTGCATCGTTTCGTTTTCAACCTCAGGCTCTTTTTGAAGCCCAATAAAAAAAACTTCAAACGGGAGGGCTGGAAAGCAGCATTGAGCTGCTCTGAAAGCAGTTGTTTGATGCAAATGGTGAAGCAATCTTTCCTGTTGCGATCTGCGTATTTTATGAAAGCGCCAAAGGTAAATATCTCACTCCCTTTCTCGTAGACTTCCGACTAATTTGTATGACTTCAAAGGATGTGTGTTCTCATGTACGATCTGTGGTCACTGATCAGATATCTCAGGTGTATATTTTCCTCCCTGTTCGAAAAATCTCTTCCATTCACAACTGTAACAGAAAGGCTGACAAAAATGCATCTGTAAATCCAAAGAAAAGAGTTTTGCTTTCGTGGCATAAAGAACGTTGTCATCGTCCAGCTTAAAGAAATCTGTCTCTGTGTCTGGCTGTCTGTCTCTCTCGTGAAGAAATCCATAAATTTATAGCAGTTTACATTATATAGATGGGCCTCGACACACACGACACTTCTCTCTCGTGAAGAAATCCATAAATTTACAGCAGTTTACATTATATAGATGGACCTCGACACACACGACACTATTTCGGTCACCGTGGTCAAATGGAATTCAAAATTAGAGTGGGCTGTTCAGAACCACAGCACACATTCATGTGTCTAAGTATGTGAGATTGTAAGAAGTATGTTTATCCATGTAGAATGATTTAATTTTTTTTTCATCGTCTATGGTCAGCTTGACTGTCGTGACCCCTTTCGGGGTTTTCTTGCAAAAGTACCACGGTGGGTTCGCACCTCCGTGGCCAGTTTTAACCCACCAGACTGGAAGAGGAGACGCGGACAAACATCCATGCCTTGAGTGGGACTCGAACCCACGGTCGCAGCGGCCAGACGCACGAGGACCATGCCTCAGACCGCGTGACCACTCCGCCGGAAATGATTTAATTGCATTTAATAAATACAGTCTCGTCGTAGCTCAAACATAATACGTAAAACCATTCACCTGAGATATCAGCTTTAAATATATTATTAAATTAATAATTATTTTTTCATTGTTTTATATTCTCTTACAATTGCGAAATTCAACTACATGGCCTCGAAAGTTCTCATTTTGGAACATGATAAAAGCTATTTGATTATATTTTCCGACTCGTATGACTTGAGTCTGTTTGGGACAGTGCGACCTTCAGCCCAAAACAGGAAGCAGAAACGATTACTGCAAAATGACTTTCTGCTCAGTAGATTATTGTATGTCATTATTTCTGCCAGTAAGCAGTAGTACTGTACCACTAATCAAGAACGTTAGGTTTTCAGTGCTGGCTTCTTCACTGCAAAGTAAGATAAAGTGACTCTTTATTACAATTTTTATTATGTGCTAATCTGTCACTTACTCAAACCATCTATTATAAACCCACACGCCTTTGTAATGAAAGACACTTGTTTCACAACACTAATGAATAAAATAATCATGAGATATTCGCCATGCATTAGCGTACAGTGATTCGACTGTACGCGACGCGTAAAAGTGTACGCAACGTTTTTCCCACGCATGTTTTATCATGCCATGAAATTTTATGCATTAAAGCCTTGATTTGGCATCACTTGCATTCAAATCGTTATATTTTGGCCCGTTAAAACCACATTTACAATGTATCTTTACGTTTACATACAACTAACACCACGTATCAGAGTCCATCTTGAGAAGGTGATAGTCGCACAGATGGTCAATAAATTTTGAGATTTTACCGGGCAAAAAAGTTCAGTATCGTGTTCACAAGAGCTCCCCCCCACTGGAATCTGTCCAACCAGTTTACTTCCTACAACATTATTTCGCCTTTACTGGTTCTACGTCTCTCGAATCGTCTCTTCCCATTAGGTTTACCGATTAAAATATCGATATTACTTTCTTTCGCCTTTTCGTGATGCAGGTTTGTCCAATAGAATTCTTAGTTTAATCACTCTACACTGTTTGGTGAATTGTACGCCTACAAATTACTTAGTCTTCTCCATTTTCCTGCGACAATATCGTTTTTTAGAACCGTATATTTTCCTCGGCCCTTTGCTTTAAAACATCCACAATTTGCCAAAATCAACGATCTTCAAAACATTGTCACATTACGTAGGATTCGACGTTCTTACAGCGGTGATTTCGAATATGGTTGTCTTCTTTCTGGGTTATAGCGCCGTGATCGCCCTGATGATGAAGGCAATAACTACCTCTGAAACACCTGTTAACTTCTGCCAGACTACAGGGCGCTGTAACCCAGAACACAACCATTTTTTATGACACATTTATCACTTTGTACTTTGCTAAAAGCACTGTTGCAAATCGCTTAATTTTTAGACGTAATGTAATTATGCAAAACTGTAAGGAAACTGGAGTTCAAAACAAATTTTCATGGAGTGCAATGCACAAGAGGGTCTGTAAAGGACGCGCAGCACAGCAATCTTGAACGAAAATCACGTAGTGAAATTGCAGACCCTAAAATTTACAAAGTCATTACACTGCGAATCGAGAAGGACGTACGAACTGAAATATCTGCTGTGAAATTACTTCTATGACACCCGTTCGTAAGCGGTGGTGATACGTGAGGAATTGCTGTCGTGGTGGCCCTTGACACTTACCTAGCAGCTGTCGCTGTTGTGCAAGCACTGACCACGCCA